ATTAAAATAAATTTAATACGAAAACATTGTACATTTAGAAAATACGAGCAAAATTGAGCAAAGTTTCGATACATCTCCTGGTAGTTAACCCTATCTAAGCTTAAGTTTAATTCGATCCGGTCAGATTCGGGCTCGGATACTGCAGAAAGCAAATATAGTTTCCCCTCAGTTCGGGTTTTGTGAAAAATCAGTCTTAAATTGTAGACACAAGCAATTGAATATGGAAAAACAGTAGATGAAAAAGCCAAAAAGAACAGGACTAGTCAACAACTAAAGCAGGGCCAGGAATTGATCCTTAAAATCAGTTCCGGTCCTTGCTGACAATTGAAACCGAATAAGCAACAAACAAAATTCAAAATCTTTGCAGCAGCAGATTTCAAAATTAAAAAGAAAATATAAAAAAAACTAAATTAACAAAATTCATAACTGCGGTTCGAAGCATATAGAAAAAAGTGTATGAAAGGTATGTTAACAATAAAAATCCAAAAAAGCTTAAGCGAAGATTGAAAGAAAAAAATAAACTTTATGTTCCCCAAATCTCTGTAAATGTTTAGATGTATGAAAGAAAAACAGTCGAGGACACTACTTAAGTTAGGTTTTGGTGGGGCTAAGACCGACTTCAAATTAAGATGTGTATGTAAAAAAAAAAAACTAAAATGAATACTATAAAGGTAACGCTATGAATCCTAACCCGTTTACCCGAGGTTTAGTTTTAAAATTTGATATGTATCTATACCTTGTCCACGATCCACCAGCTAACATAAATGTATGCAATCCCGATTTCATTCCTTTGAGATTTGCTAGCGATTGACCGAGTATTTGGCGGCGATTCCATTTAGATTTCTGAGTTCCTTTTCCAAAAATGCAGATTACACCATTGCGATTTGTGGACCGGGCCGAAGCTTTGGCAGTTCTCAAGCCTCGAAAATAAAACTAAACTGCCCGGCCCTGCGGCCAGGATATCGGCATTCGGCGGGCCGGGCAACTCCAGGACATCCAGATCCGTTTCGCACCATAGCACTCAAGGCAATACAAGCAACCAGCGGCGAGAGAGAAGCAAAAAGAAAGCAGAAGACAAGGCAAAGGACAAGTTTCGAACCAAGGATTTCGGTAACATTTCGAACGCAACTTTCGGCAGAGTTTCGAACAACTTTGGATTAGGCTTTTGTTGTTAATTTGTTTTTTTGCGACCACGTCTCCATAGCACTCGAGCAACATGCAATATGCAACAGCAACATGCAACACACAACACAAGCAGCAAGCAGCAACGTGATACACGAGTTGAGCAAGTGAAAAGCAATTTTTGAAATGGGGCCACAACGTCCGATCTAAAGTGCCTTCAAGTAACAATGAAAACAAAAGAAAACAAAAAGAAAATACCAAAAAATAAAAACTGTTAATTTTTTATGTAACTAAAAGAAACGAGGAGGAAGAAATTATAAATAAAAATTGTATAAAGAAATTAAACGTGTAAAAAGTATAACAAAAATTAAAACAAAAACTAAGCGATAACGATGGTGAACGCGAAAGCGGAAACGAAAACGTAGATGAAGAGAAAGGGCTCCAAATAGACCGGAAAGCAAGCAAAAACCAAAACTGCCTCAAACTTTGGCCTGGTCACACTGTCTCTCCGAAGGAATTTCCCGGCTCGACCAATACAGCAGCGGAAAATCGATTGCAAATCTCAAAAAAAGAAACCAATCCAAGTCCCCACTTTCGAGTCCTTCCCTAGCAAAAAGTTGTAATTGACTACCTAAGTAAGCAACAAATATGTATGTATTTAGTTCTAGTATGTAAACGAATGGAAATTCATATAAAACTCGATTTAGACGAACATTATGTATGGGAAAATTAATGATTTAGACTAGCGAAGACAGCAACAAAGGTTTGGATATAGACATCACGAGTATACCCCCTATACCCCATACATACGCCTATAGCGCTGAGTTGCTCATCTATCAATGTACTTTAAACACGAACACAGCCACACTGACACTTGCATGTACTATGCTACATTTAATTTAGATTTAGAAGCGAAGAACTAAGTATTCAACGATGAGGAATGAACTAGGAACGGCATACTGATGAGGTGGCTATTAGGTATAGAGCGAACTATATTTAAGGACTCGGAACTAGCGACTCCAGAAAAAAAAGCGAGTGCGCAGCGACACATGATCGCAGATAAACTATAAGACTTTCCAGAAACGAAGGGGGAAACCTGCCGTTTCCCACTTTCGTCCTTCTTCCTACCCCTAACACACTGCAGACACACACACACACACATGAGATCTTGAGTTGGCAGCATCGTAATCGTTTCTTTAGTCGACGATGGGAAAGAACTAGTAAAAATTAGCAAAATTTAAAATTGATTATGTATCACACAGTCACAGACGCACACCTCACCCACACACACTCACCCAGACACCATGTATATAAGTATGTATATTCATTTGAGCTGAACATTGTATAACCGAACGATTACGATACCACACCAGTCACACGAAAAAACTAAAACCAAAATGAAAACAAGGACACACCGAGGTGTGTAAAGGGTTCTTTGCTTACAACTTTTCAAACGTATTAAACCGTTTCGGCCAACCTTTAGGATTGACAAAAGATCGACTTGAGGAACACAGCCCCGCCCAGTCGCGTCCAAAAAACAGTGACCGATGGGCGGGAGAATGCATCGTTTCGGTTGATGGATGCAAACGATCGAAATTTATTGGGCCCCACGGCCAAGTGAAACCAAATCAAGCCATGAAATTGATTTATGTTCAATTAAGCAAGCGAAAACAAGAGGCGAAAATTGTGAAAAATATAGAAAAATGAATACTTTCAGTTACAATACAACAATAGACCGGAATGATTTCCAAGCAATAGTACAAACAACTTTAGAGATAACTTTTATAATGTAATTGTAAACTAAGTGGTAGAAGGGGAGCTCCGGGTTGACCGAATGTCGAGGATAAAAGCCAACAAATAATTATAATCCTTGAATGCCCGGAGCGAGGCGAGAATTTAATGAGAGGAAAATCCAGTGAATGCATATACGATTTACCCTAATTTATCATCAGTTTAAATTTTAACACACATTTTGTTTGAAATTTGATTAGTGCGAAGTAAGCGAAATTGAAGGCCAGCAGTCGCCGATGACATTTTCGAAATTCAAACTTGACACGAGCATGAAATGCCGCAGGACCTTCCCTTCCTCAGAAGCTGGAGGCCAAAAAAAAACGATTAAATCAAGTCACTTCACACACAGTTTAAATTTATAAGAATATGTACTAACAATAGGAAACGTCACCCAATTTCCCAATACCCCAGTGTCCCTGCCCCAAAACTCACACATTACTATTTACCACAATATGAAACGAAAGCAAGAAAAAGAAAACCAAAAGTAATGCAAAAGTAAAGTCAAGCAAAACAAACATATATGAATGTAATACGCGGTGGAAACATACAAAGTTGGGAAACCAGAAAATTTCACAATCGACTATGTCGCGCATACACTTACGATAGTACGATATACTAACTTTATATGATTAACTAACTCATTTCGAATGAACCATAGCGATATATGTATAAGCCACGTTTTGGTTTCGGTTTCGATTTCGGTTCCGTTTTATACTTTGGTTTGGTGTACACTTTTGGAAACTTCGGAAACGCATTTCAGGCCAACAAATTAAAAAAGAAATACCCTTTTTGGACAAGTTTTGTTCCCGAAAAATCGGAAAAATCGCACAAAATTGTACATTTAGCGCAACCAAAAAATTGCAAATTAAAACCCCGAAAACGGAAAATCGAAATTTGGATTTACATTTAGAGAATGCATTTAGCGCAAAGCAAAAGCAACCGACACCACACCACACTACACCCTCACTCCACAAAATGAATGAAAATATGTATGAGGTAAATTCAATATTTGGGATATAAGCGAATATAATTACATACAAATTTATATTTATGCAAGCGACAAAATCGAAAGACAACATACTAAAAACGTGTAATGGAAAGAAAATTGTAAAACAAGAGCAAAACACTAAACTACAATATGACATTTTTAATCGAAAAAAAAACAAACAAAACTTATTTTATTGAAAAATTATGTAAAATTTACTAAGGAAAAAATACAAAAAACACACAATAAAACTATATTGTTTATTTTCATCTTTAAAAATAAAGTTTTAAAATCGTATAAAAATAGTAATTGTATTCTCGGAGTTGTTTTCTTGTGGAAAATGTAATGAAGGGTAAGTAATGCTAGTACAAAATTCCTATCCTAAATTAGGGTATATATGTAAATGTATACTATAATTTCGATCCCTCTCTTTGGTTATTTTATTGACAATTATGAAGGCAATTACTTTTTTAATTCTATGAGAATTTGATGATACCTAAATTGCCCTTTGTTGTCCTTTGGTTTTTTTTCCTTGACCTTTGTATAGAGTCTGAGAGGTGTTTAAGATTAAGGTGCATATCGTTAGGTTACCACGAATCAGCATTTTTTTGGACCATACATTTCTCTTTTATCAATTAAAAATGTAAACTACTGCCTCAATCTCACTCCCACGAGAAATTATTAAAATTTCGCGTATTTGACAGTGCTAATCAAATCATAGTAAAAAAACAGCGAGATGTACGCATAAGTAGATACTTATCACCAAAGTTTAAGTAATTTTACCCCAATATTTCAATGACTTCTATATATATATAGTCGCACGATCGACAAGATTTACCAAAAAATGTAAAAGGAAAAAAAGGCGAGAAACCCTATTTGTAACCAAAATTTCTATTGGCTTACTTGTCGTATGAGTAATTTTTATTGGAGTATTCTCTACCCTTAGCAAAGACACGCTCCGCATTTATCCAGTGCACGATCCGTATTCGATTAACTAAATTTACGATTAGTTATAGTAATCGAAAATCTGTCATCTCGAACGCATTAGGAAACAACAACAACAAAAACAGCTGTTAGTACATTACGCAAAGGTTTTTTCCACATTTGTTTATTAAAAATGTCGCTGTTGGGCGCCTTTGCCAGGTAAATGGATGCACTTGCTCTCTGTGAATACCTCCGCTAGTCCTTGGCTAACACTTTCTGTCACAGATTGGGAATACAGCGAAGTGGCGGAGTGGCCGGCGCAATCGTTGCACGTTCTCTCCAAACAACTCCTGTCCTCTGCGCCGAACCCCTCAAAAAAAGAAGAAACTAGATCCGCAGATCGTTAAACAGCGGGAGGATCGCAGAAAGAAAAAGATAGAGAAGCAGATTCGCCGTCTGGAAAAGAATGCGCGGCAGCTGAAACCCGTAGAAGAACTGGAGGTCCCACTGGAGCTCATCGATGATAAAGAGTGGGTGGTCATGTGGGTTTCCAACATATCTAAAGATGTAATATTTTCCTATCCTCTAGCAAACGTCAGAGGAAGCTAACCCCATTGGGCAGCGCAAAGCTGGAGGAACGTGCCCTTCTCAAGAAACAGTGGGCGCACTACAAACACGACGAGCGCGTGGCCGACTTCCAAATCATCGACCGACTGGTCCAGGCGCAGAACAAGGCTCTGGCGGAACTGCGGCGCGAATCCGAAGAGCTCTACCAGGCGGCCATCGAAGTGGACCCCCAGTTGCTGCCTGTCTCCGTCAAAGGACCTGTGGCCACGCCCCCCATTAAAAATTATGCCAGTCCCGATGGCGACTACCTGCACCAGTCCATGAAATGGGAGGTCAAGTGAGGTGTACCGAAGGTCGAAGATTGGAAATAAACAAAACCCTTAATCCTACATTTATTGGATGCACTAATTCTTTATTGCCTCTGGCGATTCGCAGATTTAAAATAAAGACAGGTTCTATTACAATTTTATAAATCCGTTACCTTTAGGAAGCCCAATTATTTGTTAATTCTGCAAATAAACCTACAAGAAAGATGGCAGTGGACAAAAGTAATTTAATTGCAAGCCCAAAGACATCAAATGATGTTAATAGGGACTTTTTTTAAAGAATAATTGTGTTCCTAGTTTTCGTTTCCAACATATAGTGCTTGCAATATTTTTTTATTTTGCTTACAAATGTGATGTCACGTTAAAAACAAAAACAAAGAATGCAGTTGTGCTTAAAACATCCTATATTAATATGCTTTAGAAATTAGTTAAGATCAAAACCTTTTTATAAAGATAAATGCTGTTATTTCGTCTATTGCTTATTGAAGATATTCCCTTGCGAAAAGTAAGATGTTTTTGTTGGATTTTCGAACTTCATATTTAGATAATGCTTTTGGAGTCAATTTTGTGGCGGTTTTATTGTTATCAGTGAAGAACGAGAATAAGGCAGGCGATTGTGCCTGGCGAGCCCTTTCGGTGAACTGTCGAAATAAATAATACGCGAGAGACGTAGCAGTGACTGCTATTGATGTTGATCTTGGGATGGTGTTACGGTGCGGGTCCTTACGAGGGGGTGGTGGCGTTGGTCTTGGCAGCGGCCTGCCGCTTTTTCACGCCCCAGTTGTACACCCGCGCCATGTTTACCTCCGTGGTTGTAATTTGATCCCTGCAGGAGAGATTGGCATTAGAAAAAAACAATTTCTAGCAGAACTCAGTACCCAACTGACCTCAGGAAGTCCTGGTCGTGTTCCACGGATTTCAGGTTGCCCACCGCCGATGTAACATTCTGCTTGAGCAGCTCCTCTGCCTCGTCTAATGGATACTCCAGCATCACGCTGGCTCCAAGCCAGAGGTAGACTGTTTTTGTGGGCGGCACCAACGTCTTGATGAACACCTGGTCGCTGAGCAAGAACTGCGTCTCGCGCTCCTCGTCCTCCTTACGCAGCACATTAACCATCTCCAGGGAGCGTTCCAGGTCGGGGATTTGGGACTTAAGCTTGCGCCGCCGCGCCTCCAGGTTGTAGGCCATGAATCGATACTTGCCATGCTGCTCGTCCAGCCGCTGGAGCACCTTCTCACAGTTCTCGTTCTCTGGCTGCGCCATGAACGAGTCGATCTCCTCCTGCAATCGCCAAAGGTGCGTGGATTAGCCTCCAGTCAACAGCTGCAGGTGCACGCTTGTAGGTTAGGACCACTCACCAGGAACACTGCCTCCGGGATGCCGGCGAAGGTCTTCTGGTTTTCCGGTAATTTGGGCATTTCCACCGAGTCCATTATGCCAGTCATCCTTATGCCTTTATCGGTGCCGCTTGCAATTGCAATTTAATTTCCAGGAGGTCGGTCAGTCAGCCGCTGTAAAAGTCGATGGTGAGTCAAAATTGCGACGGAACTATCGATAGGGTGTCACCAGCCGTCATCGATTGTTGGAAATTAGCATTACTTTTAATGTTAAGGGTATTCTTGGATATTAAAAAATAAGTCAATTTATTAATTAAAGTTATGCCAAAAAGTGTTATTTCTATACTTATAAATTACATTTATTACATGACTTTTAATAAAAATATTGATTTTAAACGGGGTATTGTTTGATTCAGAAAATATGAATTAAATAGTTTAGTAGTCAAGGGATATGTTCACCAATGTAATTGCAAAGTTTGAAACTATTGGATCAACCACATGAAGTCAATTTATTAATTTAAGTTATGCCGAATCATTTTATTTCTTAGCTTAAACTTATTCTTATAAATGAAATTATTACATGACTTAAAAGGTTAAGTAATCGAGAAATATGTTTGCCTATGTTTTTGAAATTTTTGTTTGGTAATGTTTGAAATTATTACACCAACCACTTGAAGTAAATTTATTAATTTAAGTAATGCCAAATAATTTTATTTACATGACTTTTAATATAAAAGATTGACTTTTAAATAACAATGTGTTTTTAATTTTTTGTAGTATTGTTTGAAACTATTGGACCAACCACATGAAGAATTCACCAATTTACTTCACGAATAATAAATAAAACACATTACTGCTGTCATCCCTGGCTTATACCGATAACTCCAACATCGATACCACCGCGGCGTCAAAAAACGCGCCCGCTTGTGAAATTCGCAGAAAATAGAAAATTACAAGCTATAATAACCTCAGGATGAGCACCTGGAACCCGGAGAACGATGTAGACCTGTTGTCCGGCTCCGAGGATGAGGAAGAACTGGCCATGAAGAGGGACTACCACGGGCGGGAAGCCATTCTCTTCGTGGTGGACGCGAATCTGCAGGCAGGCGGAGTTGAGCGCCTGATGGAGGCACTGAACATCATCCGAACAGCCTTTATATCCGGGATTCTGGTGAACGACAAGGACCTGATTGGACTTATCTTCGCCAACACGAAACACAGTCCCCCTCCGCTAGAATCCAACGCCTTGGACAGCATCGTGATGCCGGAGAATTGCGCAGTGTTCCTGCCCCTGCGACAGCTTACAAAGCCCATTGTCGAGCATTTCCTGGAGTTCATGGGTGAGGTGGAGACGCAGTTCGCCGATAAGTACGGCCTAGCTGAGCCCGATGGCTGCGGAAGATTCGATCTCATGATCCGTCTTTGCATCGAGCTCCTGGAGAAGTGCGGCAAGAAGCTGAATAACGCAAAAATCGCATATTTGACGGATGTCAGTACGCCGCATCCGTCGTCCAGCAATCACTTCCAGGCTGCCCTGCAAAAGGCCAGCGACTTGGAGGGCAAGGAGTTCGAGTTCCATGTTATTCCCATGGTAGATGACTTCGACTACGAGCCGTTCTATAAGGAGTTCATCACACTCTCAAGAGGTAAGATATGAAGAATTATTATTAGTGGAAACTTTAAGTTATACATATGCGGAGTCTGTTCCCCTCGTAGGCGTTTAAGTTTCGCCTTGGAGGTTTTAAGACTTCGCAGATCAATCATGAGCAATCATTCACCCGCGTCCAAGTGAAGTCCAATTGGTTCGTGGTTTTGGATTGGCTTACAAGCCATAAAATCTATTTAAGGAATGGCAATTTATAGTTTTTAGTATCCCCCTTCTAGATTACCTTTAACTAATTCTCTTTTCAGCCATCGAACTAGACGCCTTTCAAGTGCCAGATGCCCAAATGCTCCGCGAGATCCTAGCCGATCGCAAGCTGAAGCAGGACTTCCTGCGTCGCTGCCTAGGTCACTTCAGCTTCTACCTGGGCCCCGATCTTTCCATGTCCGTGCAGTACTACAACTATTTTCAGCGACGAGCCTACCCGCGTAAAGTGCAGATCCTGCGGAGGGACAACAGCGTAGTTCGCAGCAAGCGGGTGATAACGGTGCAGAAGAAGGACGAGGAATCGGAGGAAATTCTCCACGAGTACCAAATCAAAACGACGGGTGGATGGTATAGTTGCAACGTGGGCGGAAAGAACCTACGAATCAGCATGGATCAGTTAAATCATGTGCGCAACCTACACAAGCCGCGAATGATGCTGCTGGGATTTAAGCACCGCTCCTCCCTGCCGGATGTGACCTACAGCAAGCCCTCGAACTTCATGTATCCAGATGACCAGAGCATCATCGGGTCAAAGCGTCTATTCCGGGCGTTGTGGGAGCGCTGTTTGGCGCGTGAGAAGATTGCCATTTGTCTGTTTATGTGCAAGCGCAAGTCCATTCCTCGCTACGTGGCTCTTGTGCCTGTGGAAGCCCCGGATAAAGAAGAGGAGAAGGGCTACCGCTCGCTGCTCTGTGGTGATGGATTCAAGATTGTCTACTTGCCGGAGTCAAAGCACATTCGTCACATTGACATGTTTGACTGGAACGAAACGGCAAATACGGCCAGCGACGAAGGCGTCGAGTTCTTCCAAAAGATAATTAAGAAGCTGCGTGTTGATTACCAGCCCAATTTGATAAACGACCCGACACTGGACGCCCTACAGTCGAATCTCCTAGCCCTTTCCCTAGATTTTTCCACGGATAGCAAAGGCATCGATAATCTCCTGGACAGCACGCAACAGGATAAGCGCATCGAGAAGTTCTTGCCCATTTATGAAGAAATTTTCGATGCAGAGGTGGAGCCGGCCAAGAAGCGAGCGGCCAAATCTGTAACGGCTGGTGCAAGCGCTCCAAAAATGCCAAAAATCGATGAGGAACAGCTGAAGAGCTTAGAGTTTGTAAACGATTTGATCAAGGATAAGCGTTTGATAAGCTGCACGGCTACCCAACTGCAGTTGATTTTGGAGCACCATTTTGGCTGCAAAATGGCCAAGTCCACAACCAAGGCGAAAATGGTAGCGCAAATTGAGGAACTGAGTGTTTGATTTGGAAATTGCTTACCACAGCAAAAAGTGATATGAATTTAAAGTATATATATATATATTAAAAATATAACTGGTAGTATGTAACATCGTTTTGTTTAAAAAATACCTTTGTTACACTTTGAAATATGAAATAACAGTAATTTTTATCTCGTTTTCCGCCTTATCTCAAGTTTGGCGAAATTAAATTAAACCATATTCACCTTCGATATCCAGAATAAAGTAAAGTTATAAAAAAAACCAGATAAAACTGATGGTTAAAGATATTTATGATATGAAAAATTTGTTGGGCTTTAACAATTTTAAAACTAGAAATAGCAGGCATACAAACAAAATCACACTTTTAAAAATAGCTGAGAATTATTTTTAAAAAGCGATAGTTCGATAAGCGTCAAACTGCCATCTCTACTTTTAGTTTATCGAGTACAGTGTTGTACAACGCCACTGTGGGCCAACACATGTCCGCGCCGGTTTCTATTTGCAAATTTGGACATTGCGAATTCATTTATTGCGAACCGCTATCACAAAATGTCGCTGCAATTTCAAAACGACTGCGGAGATTCCGTAAAACAGGCGATCATCGAGGAGCTGCAAAACCTCCTAAGCTCAGACACGGGTGTCCTCCAGCAGGCGGAGAGGCGAACAAAGCAGCTGGAGTACACGGAAGGTGATTTGGCGGGCAGCCAGCTTGGCTTGGCTTGGGTGCGGTTTATTGGCACATGTACATCGGTCCATCTAACCCATCTCACCCACTTGCAGGCTATGGCGTCTATCTGTCTGAGATCATTATGAACCAGGCGCACGAGCTGCCACTCCGTCAGATCGCGATCGTAATGCTCACACGCTACGTGGAGAACCACTGGACGGATGACCAGGACGCCGGCGGCAAGGCCAACGGCTGCATGGCCAGCGAGCAGGCGAAGCGCACCATCCGCAACATTCTGCCCAATGGACTGTACGATCCCAACTCCAAGATCCGCTCCTCGGTAGCGCACACCATATCCACCATAGCCGCCACAGATTACCCACATAGTTGGGCGGAGCTGTTCGACATTATAGTAAAATGTCTGGGCGGAAACGAGGACTCCATACACGGAGCTATGCAAGTCCTACAGGACTTTAACTACGATGTGGAGCAGATCAAGGAACTGGGACCAGTGGTCATACCCGAGGTCTATCGCATTTTCGACTCGGAGAAGAATTACTCGATAAAAACCCGCGTCTCGGCCATTCGCATTTTGAAACCACTGTTCGCATCTATTGCCACACTGATCTCCAATAAGGAAGAGCAAAGTACCATGATGAGCTCCATTCTAACCAATTTTATGGACAAGCTGATGCATTACCTGAGTATGAATAGCGGCGCCGGATCGAGTTTCCTTCTGCGCTCTGAGATCATCAAGGGTGGGTTGTATTTTCTCTTCCCCAGAAAGTAAACTAAACCTGTATTTCCCACTTTAGTGTTTACCCATTTGGTCACCGAAATGCCCAAGTACATCAACCCCTTTATGGACCGCGTTTTGCCCATAATTTGGCAGCTGCTTACACAGATAGCAGAGACTTACGTGAAGGTGTCGGTAAACCAGACCGAAACGAATCCCCTGGCCAGCGGCGACAGCGAGGAAGATGATGAGCAGACCAATTTCCAAACGCTTATCATCCAGATCCTAGAGTTCATCAACTGCATTCTGACTTGCAGCAAACTGCGCGGCTGCATCAAAAACGTACTGGCTGATCTCATCTATATTACGATCGTGTACATCCAGTTGAGCGAGGAGCAGCTTGAGGACTGGCAGGACGACCCGGAAAAGTTTGTGGACGATGAAGATGACGGTGGCGTAGAGTTGACAGTGCGCATGTGCGGCCGTGATGTCCTGCTGGTAAGAGGGAGAAACCTCATCCAAAGTCTGCTCATTCTAACTAATAATCTTTTATAGGCCATAAATGACGAGTTCGGTGCTAAGGCCATCCAGCCATTGCAAGAGGCTTTGGGAAGGCATTTCAGCGTGGCAGAGGCGGAGAAGGCGGCCAACAATCCCAACTGGTGGAAGATACAGGAGGCCTGCATGGATGCCGTTCACGGTTTTCGCGACATCATCCTCGAGGGTGACTCCACATTCGACCTGTTGAACTATTTGACCATAGTTCGGAATCTGCTTGTGCACCAGGAATCGCCGCCTCTGGTGGGTCGCGCCCTTTGGACGCTGAGCACCTACTCCAAGTCGGACCTCTACAATCCACAGATGTTGACCGAGATCCTTGACGTCACGCTGTGCAGCCTGTCGCCGGAGAAGTCGCACATCCTGAGAATTAGTGCAGTGCGCACACTGAACGGCTTTCTCCAGGCGAACGAAACGAGCGAGGGAGAGAAGCGTACTTTATTGGTTTCCAAACTGCCTGGATTCCTAGAAGGAATCATGGCTTTAGTACCGGGTTCCAAAGCCGCTGTTTTAGCCTTGCTAATGGAGGCCTTGACCATCATGGTTAAAGTGAGTCACTAAAATAAATTGATATTTTCATTCTGTTATTTATATCCCCTATTTCTAGTTCGATGCTGAGTTCGCCTTTGCAGGCCAGGCCAAGATCACGCCTCTGGCCATTGCTGTGTTTCTTAAGTACACGGAGGATCCGTTTGTGCTGGAAACGGTTCAGGATCTTATCAAAGCACTGTGTCAGCGCAAGGAGTGCCTCGGACCGCTGCAAGAGAAGTTCATTCCCACTATCGTTAGCATCCTAGGACTGACAGGAGCGGCATCCACGGAGAAGCAGGACATTGCCCTAGACGTTCTCAACACAATAGTCCGCTACACGGAGCCGCCTCTGAGCAACTCGTTGCTGGAGACCGCTTTTCCTGCCGTGATTAACTGCGTACTGCACACTGACGACCATGCCGTCATGGTTGCCGGTGGCGAATGCTTGCGCAGTTTCATCAACGTGTCCCCGGACCAGATCTGCAGCTACAAGAACGGCGAGGGCATCAACTGCATCATGCAAGTGGTGGCCACTGTGCTGCTCAATCCCATGAACAGCGAAATGACAGCAGGGGGTCAAATCGGACGCCTCGTCATCACTATTATTACCAAGATGGGCAGCATGCTCGGCCAAAATGTGGACATGCTGCTTAAGGCTGTGATAAGCAAGATGCAGAACCTCGAGTGCCTAAAAGTTATTATGAATCTTGTTTTGATCTTCGCACATCTGTTCCTTACACAAATGGACGCGGTGCTCAATTTCCTTTCTACTGTTCCCGGACCAAACGGAGAGCCAGCGATGCAGTTTGTGCTTACCAATTGGCTTTCACGCCAGAACTCATTTTTCGGAACCTATGAGCGAAAGGTAAGTGAAGTTTAAATTTCATATCACATATTTGGAAATTTGTACATTACTTGGATATTTTAAGATTAATCGTTTTGCTGTTAACAGGTCACCACAATGGCTCTCTGCAAGCTGTTTGAATATGGAGTGGCCACACAGGACAACCGCTTGACCTCAATAACCTTTAAAGAGTTAGTGGATGACCCCACAGATACGCGCAGAAGGACACGCTCCGTGGCGGCTGCAACCCAGAAGTGGGTGACCATTCCGGCGCTCGTCAAGATTTTTAAGGTGTTGATTTCTGAGTATCAGCACTTCCAAGAGGGAAAAACGGACGAACCTCTCACGGACAGCGAAGAGGATGGCGAGGATGAGGAGGCGCCCGGAACTGCTTCAAAGCCACGCTACATTTCCGATCTGTTCGAATCGGACGACGATAATGCCGAGGATGAACAGTTGCTGCTGGAGCTGCTTAAGGAGATCAACTACCAGGGCGACATTGCTGACAACCTGCAGAAGTTCCTAACCACCTTTACGCAGAACGAGCACTTCCCCACTTTTTATGAACACCTCACAGAAGGCGAACGCCTCATCCTGCTCACAAAGGTGCAGCAGAAGTAGTTCGCAGCAGCTTAAGGAATTCCTTAATTTTTACATGTTTTACGTCGAATTGTGTTAATCGTATTTATATATTGTTGCTAACCCTTGAATGAAATACACATTTCTATATTTTTTAAATAAGAAAGTTTTGAGTTGATAGGATTTGTCATACGACAAAAATTAACGAAAATATGAAATATTTAAATGAAGTTTGGATTAAATTAATTAATTTTGTAAAAATTATGTATTTTGAATTTATATTTAAATAGAAGATACATATATTTCATTTAAAAAATCGAGAATTGCATTGCAAGTCTCATTCAAAAAAGCATTTTTAAAATTGAAAGAACACAAAAAGTGATGTACAAATCAAAACTATAAACACTAAAAAAATGTAATATTTTATTTAAATAATGCAGTAGGGATCTAAATTGTTTAGGTTAAAATGAAAACATTTACCAAGCTTTAGAATTAGGCGTTGGGTTCGAATTTGGATGATCATAAAGCCACCTCGTCGGGGCGGAGCTTGTGCTGAAGTGGAATGTCGGGCTTGTACGCATCCTGTTGAAAGACACTTTAATTCCAGTCTACCTTAGGTCAGATCCACTATACTCACCATGGGCTTTTCGGAGCCAAAGGTAAAAAACTTTCGTATGCAGGGAGTGAGCAGCACTGGATCCACCTTGTTGGGATTATTTTTGCCAAACACCAGGGTGCCGAGCAGCGCTACGATAATGGTGATGGAGGCTCCAAAGGTCGTGTACCACATATAAGAGATTCGGTAAAGCGGAAAGACATCCCTGTGGTTTTCAAGGATCATGAGAAATTGTTTATTAAATGCAATATCTTCTCTTACTGTGTAGTTGCAACCAGGTGAGTTGTGTTGGCCAGACTGGTGGTTACGTTAAAGCTGTAGTCGCACTGTTCCACATTCAGTGGTTTCGTATGGTAACTAATGGCTCCAGAAGCGATTGCCCACTGAGCATTCAAACTCACCCAGGACATGGCTATCACACCCATAATTCCGCCGAGTAAAGCGCTCTGAAAAATAAATATAGAATAATGTTTTGATTATTTTCCAGTCTAAAAACTACACTTGTAAGTCCATAACTTTTCTTAAAGGCATCCGATTTCAAAGTGCCATACTTTAAAATGATTGTGGTTTAATCCTGTAAAGATCTGTATTCAGATCTTTGTTTATATTTTTGGGTCGATTTTTCGTCATTTTTATGATGTTCCCCCTTTCCAAATTTTCGAAAAATGGCTTCCCAGAAAAAGTGTCCAAAAACTAGACTTCTAAGCCCATAACTTTTCTTCCAGACATCCGATTACCAAAATGAATACTTCTAAATGATGGTGGCTAAATTTTGTAAAAATCTGTGTTCTGGGTTTATATTTTTAGGTCGATTTTAATTTTTAATGGCTTTGCAGAAAGGTCTCAAAAACTGCACTTCCACCTTTTCTTACAGACATCCGATTTCAAAGTGGCATACTGTAAAATGACTGTGGTTTAATTCTCTAAAAATCAGTGTTCGAAAGATTGTTTGTCGATTTTTCATTACATTGTATTCTTCAGCAATTTTAGAAATAGGGTTTTACTTTTATAAAACTCGTACGACTATATCATAAGACTGCCATAGAAAATGTATAAAAATCGGCCTACCTTTACCGAAATCGAAATATAGAATATTTAATTTTTGTAACAGGGTATATAAACTTTGGCGCGCCAAGATTATTTACTAATTTAATATATTCTGAGAAAACAAGTGTTAAGTATTTTTTAAATAGGAATAAAATATTAACGTAAAGTTAAATTAAACTCACGTTTCCATTGATCCAGGGTAGAAAAACACCCATAGTGAAGATGCCGAAAAGTGGACCGTTTGTGATCGCCTCCAGGCTCATGGTCAACTGGAGGACGGTGCCCATGTGCTCCACCACGTAGACCAGGCACACACAGAGGGCTCCCACCCCGACGACCACCAAGCGCATGATCCAATTCGTCGCCGAGCTGGAGAGAGGCTGCTTCACGTAAGGCTTGACGAAGTCCTCCAGCACCACGGCGGACATGGAGTTAAGGCAGGTGGATAGGGAACTCAGGGCGGCACTAAAGACACCGGCGATGAAGAGTCCGGTCATGCCAGGCAGTTCGCCCAGGGTCTCCATCACAAAGAGTGGCAGGAGTTGATCTCGAGCCTTGGCCAGCTGGAATTGAAATGTAATATCGATGTTAAATAAAGTATAATTATGATTTGGGCCACTGGAACACTTACCTTGGTCGTTAGGGGATCACAGTTTTGGTAGGTGGCGTAGATAAGTAGTCCATTGTAGCCACAGAGCGCCATTAGGATGAGCACGCCGACACAGAAGATGCAGAGCGCTTTTCGAGCATCACCGAGGGTCGGAAGCGACAGATACCGCTGGATCATATTCTGGGAAACGGCGTTTGTCTGCGTCCAGTAGACGATGCCTCCAAAAAATAGACACCAAAACGTGTGGCGCACTGTTGGATCGAAACTGAGACTGAAATCCAGAGTAAATGGAAGCCATTACAATGATAGTTTTACTATTACTATATTACTATCATACTTACTCCGGTGCTTCTAGACGATCCGAGTTCCAAGCCCGCTCCAGAACCACTCCGGGTCCTCCAATATCACGGGTACCCTTGATTGCCACTAGGAACAGTGCCCCCAGCATGGACACCGCCTGGACCACGTCCGTCCAGACCACTGCCTTTAGGCCACCAAGACTCGTGTAGAAGACGCAGATGATGCACACGATCGGAGTGATCGTATGGACCCCAATCCCCGTCACCTGGTTGAAGGCCAGCGCCGGTACATAGATCACGATGGGCAGATAGGCCACCTTTAAAATTCATGTCATTAGTAAAGAAGTCGAAAGTGTAAAGTATTAACTTCTATTGAGCAAAGTATAAATATTAAATTTCCATTATTGGGTAGAACACCTGAACTCTGAATCATTTCCAATAATGAGAGATGTATGGTTTTTTATTTTTTTTAGAGACTCGAAGAATGTCAAGTGTTTTTAAGTCATTAAAAAATACAAAAATTAAAATGCCTTTGCTTAACTTAATTGTTTTGGGATAACGGAGTACATAAGATTAATAGATAGATAAATGAACAATGAGGCAAGTCAATAATTGGAGGCTACCGACTAATAAGACTCGCCCAAATACTCACATTCATAACGGCAAACATAATGGATCCGTACAGGCGTAACCTCCGATCGTAGCGAACCTCCAGATACTGTCCAGAATCCAAAGAGAATTTAGATTAATCCACTGAATCATATCCCAAGAAACAAGCTTACCTCGTAGGTGGAGGTGATGTTCAGGTCGTGGAAAACGGGTAGGTAAAACACGCCCATCACCACGCCCATTCCGATTACTCCGCAGGCCACGTAGAGGTACTGGACACCATAGGAGTACACCTCCGTGGGAAGCCCGAGCAGTGTGATTCCGGATACAAAGCTGGCCACCAGAGAGAAGGCGATGGGTATGACCAACATCTTGCGCCCGCCCAGCATGTAATCATCCTCGGAGACGGACTTGTTCATGAACCCAAAGTAAATTCCAATCCCGATGCAGAGCAGGAACATTGAAACAAAGGCCACATAATCTGGCCAGGCGAAGCGCTGCAGCTCGCCCAGAATCTCATCGATGCTCGACATGGTGACTAACTACGTTGGAGATCGGCAGCTGGATGGGATATGTCCGCCTCTCAGGTCCGTCGGTGGCTCACTGTGCCCATGTGCTGTCCAGATTTGGGTGCCTCTGCTTAGGCGGCTGTGATTCAATTCAATTCCGCTCAATTATCAATTGTGGGGTAATTTAGTTTCGGGGGCACGGGGCAGCGACTATCTTTAGTTAAGCCGGCGGGCGGGGGAATTACGACACCTCCGTCTCCAGTTCCGGGTACGTCCCATTGATCATCGCTCGCCTGGACCACTGGCACAATTTTTACTAAGATCGGCACGGATCCTCCTTGTACAAATTATGTCACCCTGCACGCAAACTGATCTTCCGAAAATTCACCAAGAACCCAGAGACGCGACTTAATCTCGACACCAATCACAGCGAAATCCCGGAGGTCTCACTGCGAATCGGCATTTCCCACTGCCGGAGCCGAAATGTAACGCCTAATTGGGACTCTCGGAATTTTTACTGATGCGGATTGTAGTTGCACAAGAACTGAGTGCCATGCGCCGCCAGAGGTTTACTACGTATATAGTCATTCACAGAACCACCTGGCAGAGAGCCAGGAGAACTGCAGCGGAGGCGGAGCGGGATCAAGTGCAAGATCACCGGCGAAACGGCGGGACCAATCGACACAACACTCAACAAAAATTACTACATGTTTTTTAAACATATTACAAATTTAAAAACTTTAATAAAGAAGTAAATTAAATGGGATTTTAAATAAATGTTTTCGTTAAACGAATTTTAAACGAATATTAATCTTCTTAAGACAACTTTTTAAAATGCGTAAACTTGTAAATAATTTAAATTTAAATAAATTTAAAAACTTAATAAAAACTTAAATAAATCATCGAATATTACAAATGGAAAGTATTTTTTAAGAGTTTTAGCAATTTAATGTTTAAAAATAAAATAAATTTTAAGGCTAACTTTGGTTCAGTGTGGATGTCCCCCAACTTGAACGCATTTGTAACAATCTCACAGAGAATTTCATTCACTTCGAACCACCGGCCTGCAGTTCGCTCTTCAGTATCCAAGAGGCAGCTCTCAGCGCAATGGCGGCCACCACCGAGTTGGGATTCCCCGAGATGGGACGGGGCAGGACTGGAGAAAATAATACACAAATAATTATTACGTTTTACACATGGAATTTTCATGGAATTATGAATATTTTGAAGATAATATATATTTGGTGGAAACTTAACTTCTTATGTAAGAAGTAAAACGATAGGATCAAATAAGGTATTTATTAATAAAGTAGGAAAAGTTAAATGTTCCAATACATACCGCTGGCATCCACCACCCGCATATTGGATACACCATGTAATCTAAAGGGAATTAATTGATTTAATCTTGTTTTATTTTAGAGAAATGTTCTACCTCAACTGGGAGTCCACGACGCTGCCCAAAGCACATGTCCCTCCTGGATGATGCGATCCGAGCCCAATGTGTCGCATCAGGCACTCCAAGTAGTGATCCGAGGGTCGTTGCTCAAAGAAGTCCCGCTCAAAAGGGCCAAAGTTGGAGCATTCCTGCAAACGTGGCCAGTGGATGCGGGGATGCAGTGAAGCGAAGGCGGAGGAAGTGATCAGCTAAAATATAAGATATTTACCATTAAATTAAATCAATATTTTTATAAAAATAAACCTTAAATCATTTTAAATTCTTGAATTTCAATACCTCAACAGCATTTCGAATGGCCGCAATGGTGCAGGCCACATCCTTCTCGCTGCTCAAGTAGTTTGGATCAATCAATGGATTCCTTCTCATATGGCGGTTGAGCAGACCCACGGATCCTCGTGACCTTGGCTGCAGACAGCTGGATATCACCACAAATCCCTCCTGGGAGGCGTTATAATAACGTGGAAAGAGGGCTCGAAATGCTGGACCCTTAAAATTGGATATGGACATCAGCGAAGATTCGTCGATGGCACCGGCGCCAAAGAAGGTGAGTCCAAAGGGCGAGGATCCTAATTCTCCATAGCTAGCCACGTTTCCCAGCACTCCAAAGTTTCCCAAGGGTCCTGTTCCAGAGCTAAGGAAGTTGATCAGTGTCATGGGATTCAAGAGCGTGTTCTGATTTAGTGTGGGTCCAGTAACTCCCATTGAAACGAAAAGTGGAAGGTTAAAGTGATCGTGCAGGTTGTGACCGACCAATGGCAAACTATGCTGCACAGGAATTCCAAGTTTGTTCAATGCGGATATGTCTCCGATTCCAGAGGCCAAGAGGAGCTGAGGTGTTTGGTAGGCTCCAGTGCAGAGGATTAGCTCTCTCCTCACCTCAATGCTGAATTCCTGCTCCCTGTTCTCCTCATCCTTAATCCCCACCAGAACGGAGGTGGCATGGGGGAATGGACTTGAGGAGAGTTGAATCCGCTTTACCAAAGCTTCGGGCAGCAGGCGAAGATTGGAACGATGAAGCACTGGATTTAGGAACTGCTGCACAACCGAGTGACGCAGGCCATTCCTAATATTATACATAGATCGTCGAAAGATCCAATCCTTGTGGGAAAACTGCGCCTGAGCCTCGTCCAGTGCCTCAGTTAATTTGGAATAACGTCGCGGGATTTCAAACATATCCGAGGTCTTGGGCTTAGCAGCTGCCATAAAAGATCTCATCTGCGACCAACTCCAGTCGCTCAGATTGTAAAGATCCCGCCAGGAATCGAAGTCCGGCCCATGACCATCGAAGTGCAGCATGTAGTTGAGATTGGCGGAACCACCCAGTCCTTTGCCCCTCGGCAAGCACTGCCTCCGTTCGATGAGACCTCTGGAGGAGTGTTTCTGGGGAACAGAGAGGAAGGACCAGTCGTTGATGCCCTTCTGCTGAAAGGTGGTCAGCAAAGGAATCCGACTAAGCAGGCCAAATTGTCCTCCAGCCTCGATGAGCAACACACTCCCATTACTGTGCTTGGCGAGCAGAGAGGTGAGTGTGCTGCCTCCAGTTCCAGCTCCAACTAGATATGAAATAATTACAGAACTTATTACATTGTAAAGTTTATTTTAGTTAGGTTAATTTCCGCTACCTATAACTATGTTTGTCTATATATTCGTATCAGTCTTAAATGTTCCTATCCCATTTAGAAATACCACTTACCAATCACATAGTCGAATGAAAATAGCCGCTCCTCCGGTGCCAAAACATTAGGAATGGAGGTCTTAAGCAGAGTGCCCGTCAGGATAACAATGACAGATAGGAATCCTACAATAATCCCACCCAACACCAGGATCTCTAAAAAGACAAACACTCAACAACTGTTTGTTTATACTTTTTCTAGAGCTTACTTTGGATTTTTAGACCCATGTTGTTCAGTGCGATGACGAAATCTAACTAGCTCGAAAGCGAGAATAACTGACTGGGCACCGACTTGGTCTAATCCAATTAAAGCCTTCGAGGGGTGGTATTGCGCGCCAAATTTAAATTCAACTGCGGCGCAAATCGGCTAGAGATGAGCTTTTGGCAAACAATATTTATGTAGTGATGCGGGATCTTTATTAAGCTAATATATCTATTTTTATTTATTTTATATAACAAAAATTATATTTAAAGACCACCAATTAATATACGTTAATACTTATTCCAAAAAGTATGCTTGATTATATTAAATATATTTAAGTACAAAAATTGTAACCTTTTTTAAAAATTTCCTTAAGCTTTCAACATTAGATAAGGAATTTCTTAAGGGCTCAATATACGTTTAAAATTAAGATAGCGTTCAAATTAATACAAGCCTTTTGCGACGTGGCATAAGCGTGACTTTATCAGGTGGATTTTATTATATTAACTCTTAAAAACCACCTGTTATCCCACAGTGCTCAACCAAGAGCTTTTTTTAACCTTTTCCCGCCTAATTTAGCTAACTGCACTTCGATTTTTTTGATATCGATTTGCACTCATCACTGGTAGCCGTAAGCCACCTAAATTCTTTGTTATTGCATTCGCAAGGCACCGAAGATCGACTCCAGGCCGTCCGAAAGTAATATGTGGGCGGCTGTTATCTCTCGACAGTGGAAATCTGACTCCAGAACAGCTGTTAGTCAAGCGAAAACAAAAGGCGAGCTGCAACAATAGCCCAGATCCAGATTATCAGCAGTGGAAGATCACCCAGTGAGCCCCATTCAGAAGTCAGCAGACCGAACAATGAACTAGCCCCAATAGAAAGGCACAGCTCAGAAGAACGTTGGAGTCCCTTGAGGAGCAACAGGTGTACTACAATGGGCGACCAGCAGGAGGAGAATCTGAGCCAGCTACTGGACCTATTGCCCAAGGATCAGCGGCAGGTCTTTGAGGTGGGTTTAACGATCTAGTTCAGCCGACCGAACGTAATTACACACATTCCTTATAGACCTTCATCCAGTGGCTCCATGGCAAGGCCACGGGAGCCATTCAGTCCCACCAGAACGCACTGCAATCCGCGCTCCAGACGTCGCCCTATCCCTCCTTGCAGCTGCTGCAGTTGCTCCACGAGCGCTCGAAGCTGCACATTGGCCAAATAATAGCCACCTTGCTCCGACAGTTGTTAGATGAAGATGTCTCATCACCGCGATCCCTTTGTGTGCTGGCCAACTTTCCCGCAACCATTTTGGAGGCGGCTACGCTTCTCCACAAGCTGATGACTCGGCTGGTGGGTGATTCAGTCACTAGTGAGCACTTAATGCTGGCAATGTTGGCGCGCAGCGACGGACAACTACTGGAGGAACTTCTGCAGGAGCAGCAGCTGGCCATGCGGACAAAGTGCAGTGAGGCGGCGCCCACCAAGCAGTTGGTTTTGTGGCTGGCCCTAAGCCAAAGGGAGCATTTTGTGGCCAGTGTGTGCCAGCAGATCAAGGACTTTCAGTGCTTCCAAGATCCCACACTGAGAAATACCTTGCTAATCCTTCGTCTGGCCAATGAGTTTGCACTGGGAACCCAGACTTTGGATGAAATAGGTTGCATGGAAAAATACTTAGCGGAATTCGATGTTAGCGCTGTGCCGGAGGATCTGCAGGAAGTCCATCAATTTTTCTACGCAGACTTTCAGCGACTGACCGCGCTTCTCAAGTTTCTGCGACCGCGGGAAGTGACCAAAACACTCAAAGTGGATGCCATACTACGGTCGCCGGGCGTGCTCTCCCTAATCCACGAGAACGGAATTTTGTGCGAGCACCACGAGTTGCTTCGCTTACTCGAAGAGACCTACAAGTGGCAGCAGCAAACTCCGGCGCTGAAGTGTCAATACCAACAGGAGGTAGAGGTTCTGAGCTACTACACAGCCCTTTGCCATGTGTACAATGTGATTCTGGATGAGGGCGAGCAGACAACCAAGGCCAAGCTGGTTCAGCTTTCCGGGCAGTTGAGGCAACTGCATCAGTTGGGCACTTTGTGCTCCCTACTGGAAGACATCTTCGCGTTGGTTTTTCTTCGCTGGGAGCAGCTTGAGCAAAGCCCACAAAAGAGAAGGGAAGAGGAGGAGGACGACGAGGATGATGATGACGAGCAGTATGTGGACGATGACGTTACTTCGCCCCCGCGTCAAACCGCTGTTCACACCCAGCGCACGCGGTATGGATTCATCTGCCGCTCGCCCTCGCTGCAGGCGCTCTTCACTTTTCTCAAGGCATTTGTCACTAAGAAGTTGCACTCGCAGGACTACAAGTGCGCCACGGAGCACCAACAAAGGTTCCAGCGCCTTGTGGATGCTATTAGCGAGGCCCTGTGGAAGCTGGGTGTTCTGCACAAGATAGAGCAGTCGCTGACCAAGTCTGCGCCGTCGATCAACTGCCTTTTGGAGCCGGAACAGTTGCTCCAGTTGGTCCAACTCCATAGCACGGCCAAGGAGAAGGCCTCCAGCGACGATGAGAGCCGGGAGCGCAGCAACCACGCTTCCAGTCTTAATCGGAGGAAGGCTCGTAAGCAGCGACGAGCGGCCAGCTTTAGCGGAGCGGTGGCTCCAAAATCCTCTACGGATGGTGGGCTCACAATGGAGCAATACAGGGCACGGGCGCAGTTGCTTAGTGGCAGTGGCAGCAGGAAGAGTTCTTGTGTGACTGCTCCATTTGAGCGCTCTATCATCCCCAAGATACTCAGTACGCCGGAACAACTGGCCATTATGGCGCTGGCCCTAAAGAATTTCAACGATGTGAAGCAGATCATCGAGGTGAGTGGCTAGAAATCTTGCGATAAGAGTCTCTTTTGTTGGTTGTATTTTGCAATTTACATTTATTGCTGTTGTTACTTCTGTATGTATTTTAAATTATTTTTAAATTTATATTTAGTATTGACTGTCATCATTATCAATATTTATGTAATAACAATTAAATAATTCCTCTGAAATCAATTGATCTTATTAAAAAATATATTTAATTACTTAAGCTATTATAGAAAATAAATCTAAAATGGCATCTTTTTGGACCAGCTGTGGTTGGCCAATTATGATTTGCAACAATGATTTCGAATACAAGTAATATATATGTACATACTCCTCTTTTCACAATTTGCAGACCTTTCACCTGGAGAGTAGTCAGTTAAACCGTGAGCTGCAGTTTATGGAGCAACAGCAGCTGGTAAAGCAGAAACTGGCGACCATCTACACCAACTATCAGACTTTGGAGGCGCAGCAACCGAACTCTGGAGAGACCACCGTGGAGCAGATCAAAGGCGTGGCGGCCAAGGGCTTTGAACTGTCCAAGATCATCAGCGTTGTGGATAACTTTGCACAGGCCCAACGCATGCAACAAAGTTCAGAGTTAAAAGGTCTTATTCTGCGGCACAGTTCCAACGGACAGCAGGCATTCTTGCAGCAGTTTGAGGAGCGCAATTTAAATGCCCTAATTATATGCGACCTGATTGTGAACCTGGGCTTTAACCGGGAAATAACCAGCAACCTGCTTTTGGTCATTCGCCGCCAGCAACAGCAAAAGATGACCAGCGATGATTCGTCTTCCTGCAATGGCTCCTCTGAGATTGGCGCCATGAATCTCCTGCAGAATCTCTGTGAGTGCATGCGCCTACTGGAGCGATCTGGCCTGCAACCTGCACTAAATGAGCTACTCTCTCTGAAAAGTTATCCACTCAGGCCGTCGGTCTTGGCTTTGCAGCTGCAACGGGAGGCCGCATTTCAAACGATCTGTAGAAAGGAATCTTCTGAATATTCGCATGGTCAGGATCTACGTTCCAACGTCGGGCAATTTCAGCAGCTGCGCTCGCGGCACAACTACTACGCCCGTTTCTGCACTTATGTCCAACAGCTGGCGCGGCTCCTGCAGCTAAGAGATCCCAACCTAGAGTATCACACTTCTCAGCTCCTTCGCAACGATCCATACGAAGTAATCGGTGAACTGATCTACGAGTGCGGCATAACACCTCTGGAGATCGAGGCGAGTGTTGCGGCTCTCCACCTCAATCTCGTGCATGTGATTGCGCTAAACATCTGCCCGCAATTGGGCGTAGAACCCACTAAGAGATTGCCCCGCCTTGTGGCTCCTCAGAAGCAGGAATCTATCCACAACTATATAGCCCAGCACAACCAGCTTCTTGGCTCAGATATTGCAAGCCATACAGCTTGGGAATCTTCCAGATGGCGATGCGGGATTGGACTTCTCTTGTCTGGGACACCTTGTGAACCTTCCGGAGGTGGAGATCCTGGCCTCCATGCATGACGGCAATCGACTGCTGGCCGCCTTAAATACCTACAAGTTGGACATTGCCAGCCTTGAGCAGTTGGTGTCGGATCAGGAGCAACTGCTGCAGATGTTGCTGCTGGGAATTGGTGGTCAAACAGGTGAGGAAATACCAAAATATTATTTTAAAACATAATTTTTATTAATGCTCTGTTTTCACGCAGATTCTCCTAAGAAAGTAAACTCGCGGGTTGACCAACTGATTCTGGAACTTATTGAGAAGGATCCGCGTAACATCCAACTCGTTGTTCACATGAGCAATCTCGGACTGCGTGCACGCCTTCTGAAGGAGCACTTCACCCGCATTCCCAGCAGTCAGCAGGCCAAGGAGCTTATAGAACGGACTCTACAGCATCGTCATGCAGCTAAGTCGATTCCACCTTTCTTACGTTCCCAACTAGAGAACACGCTGTCGGACATAACAATATATGCCAGAGTGTCAGCACTGCTCCAATTCGAAAGCTGGCCGCAGGCCTACGACTTTGGTCTCCAGACTCCGAACGTAATCTTTGAGCAGTTGCTGCAACGGCGGCGATTCGGCTTGTGCTTGGAATGGAGTCGTGTGGTTTTCCTGGCAGGATCAGCGGGTCAGCAACGGGTGTGCCTGCTCACCCTATTGGATTCTCTTTTGGAGCTACGGGATGGCGACGAGTTGGACGAGTCCTTGCTGGGAATTGTCAAGATGTTTCCGGCCATCGCGCTGGTTAATTTCCTGGACACGCACAAGGATAAGTTCAGGTCGCTGCCTCTGCTGCAATGGGTGATCGACTACCTGGAGGGTCATGCCCGCGATCCGCGTCTGTACAGAAACTATCAACTCTCCCTGGAGCTCTTACGTCAAATGGATGTCGAAGAGCGGTCACCGTTTTGGAAACTACTCCGGCACCCACTGCTGATCGTAGAGCAGTTGGTAATGAACGCCCGTTTTGAGATGCTGGGAAAGCTGCTGGATGCTGCTCGCTTAAAATTACAAAAGGAGAAGCCCCAGGGCCCTTGTCCCTACTGCTTCGAAAAAACGGGACATGCCTATGATGTCCAGTCCAGTTCGGGTTCGGGGAGTGGAGCAGGAGGAACCCCCGGAAAAGTCCGCTTTCAACTGGGACAAACCACACCGGAAGCATTTATTCTGCTGAACTTCAACTCCTACCAGCAGGATCACTTTGTGGGACAGGAGTGTTTAGACCTCCTTATGCGAATTTATGCCAGTAAAGCTCTGGACTACCATGTGGCCAATGTCCGGGCCGCCTCCGAGCCAAGTTCTCTGGGCACTGATGTTCAAAACTCACTGGACTCCCTTTGTGGCACCTTCGTGGTACCAAAGCAGGCACCCAATCGTATGCAGTGGACGCGGGATGAGGAGGCCAGTCACTGCATGTGCTGCCGGCGGGCTGCTTTTACCATGTTGATGCGACGCCACCATTGCCGCAGATGCGGACGGGTGGTGTGCTACGCCTGCTCCACCCATCGGATTAAGATACCAGAACTTTACGACGAGTTGGAGGTGCGCATCTGCAACGATTGCGCTGGCAGCTTGGCTCCTCGGGATCAAGGAGATGGGGTTTCTAGTGAGAGGAGTGCGCCCTCAACATCAGGATCAAGGTCTTCGGGACAGGGTGAGACCTTTAAGTGGCGCCTGAGCGGTATCATAACCCACGACAAACTGCTGCGCGAAGAGTTCTCCTATGAGCACGCCCCCAGTGTGGCTCTCAGTTTGTCCATCCTACGTAATCATGTGGAGCAGCGTAGTTGCGTGGACCTGCTGCTCTTCCACTGCCGCAAACTAGAGAAGCTGATTGTGCCAAATCCAGAGGTGGACTACGGTCTGGTGGCCAAAATGATTAACTGTCTGGCCTTCGCCGCAAAGGTAAATGAACTGTTTAAAACTAAAAACTCACTGTCTATTTAAATAAGTAATTTATCCTAATAGGTTCGCGGCGCTCCAGGAGAGTTTGAAAACATTCGCGAACACTCTGAGATCATTATGGCTGTGGTGCAGCAGGGCTGTGAGGCGCTAATCCCAACCGGACCACTGGACAACCACAATCTGCGGAAGCTAGCGGATGCTTTGGTGGAGGCGGAACACTGGACATTAGCCCTAGAAGTACACCTAAAGTGTGGATTTGCCACTACGGGAGTAATGGCGGCCCACGGACTGGCCTGTATCCGAGCCGGCTGCTACGATGCGGGTAAGCAATGACCCGTTGTTCCTCTAAGACGTTTAATTAAATGGTATATATTTTAGCCCGAGAAAAGTTCGCACACTGCATGACTCGACTTTCCAGTGAGCAGCTCAATAGCAGCATTTGCAAGAGCATGTTTGGAGTCACTTCCCCAGAGGCTGTGCTTCTGCCCAGGAAGCGGCCACAACGCGGTCCAGCTCTTCTCCAGGAAATATTGCAGCTTATAGCGGCGATGCCACAGGCTCAGCCTCAACCTGAGACTCTTCACCGGGCCTCCCTCATGCGCAATTCGAATACCTCATTGGCGTCCCTTTTCTCGCGACGTCGAGAGCCATACGTCCAGCAACGTCCTCTTCGAGAACCGGCTCTAAACGTGATGAACGCTTTGGCGGGGCTTAAGAATATAGCCAAGGGTCACTACGGCGGTCAAATTGCTGCCACCGAGGAGAGTCGTCGGCAGGAACGCGGCTTTGAGGAGTCACTGCACTATGTGCTCACCTATGGTAGTCACGGCGACATCCTGACCTTCCTGATGGGACGTGAAGAGTTGCGCGCAGCACTTCGTTACTGGCAACACCAGCAGTTGGAGGCGGATCTTTTCATACAGCATATCTTCCAGCCGCAACTGGTCAATGGAGGTCTGCCAGCTTTGATGGATGAACTACAAAAGCTGGACGACGCCCAACTGAGTGCCTGGCGCCTGCCGCTGCTGCAGACTTGCCGCCACTTGGAGCAGCAGCAGCAACTCAGTTCCCTGTACCAATTGCAGCTCTTGCTAAAGGATCCCATTCGGGCCAGCATGACATGCGTGAAGTTCTATGCCCTGCAGTGCGAGAACTTCCAAAAACTGCAGGCAAATGCCCAGCACCTGACCTCGGCTCACATGCACCTGCAGGGAGAACTGGATCTGTCCGAGTGGGAGCATCTGCAGCGGCAGCAAGCTCGAAGGGGCAGCGTGACTAGTGGAGCCAGCGTTCGAGGTGCCTGCTTCGCCATGCAGATGGATGCCAGGGCTCTCAATGGGCACATCAATACCATTCGGAGGCAGTTGGAGGTGGCCAAGTTTTTGGCTCAATGCGAAGAAGAACAAGCCCCAAATATGCCCCTTAAAACTATACAAACTTTAAAGCAGGTAAGGGAATGAATTTCATGTATAAATACTTGTAATATTACTCAATTGTGCTCTTAAAGATTCGATTGGAGTCAAGTCGAGGTACTCTGCCAACTCTCTTTGAAGGCGCCACAGATCGCATTCAGCTGTGTATCCTGATCCTAATGTGCGGCAAGAACATAGACGAAGGCTTCGGCCTAGCGTACGGGTAAGTAAGAAGTTTAGCCCAACTATATAACCTATGAATATTCATATTTCAGCAAGATATTAAAAACTTTTCCCTATTTATTAACATGTACATATTTCCTGCCCTACCACTCCTTAATTTTAAAAACGTATTATTTTTTTCCAGAATTATGCAGGACTACAAGCTAGCTGCAGTGAAGGTGTTTGGAGCTACGGCCAAGTACCTGGCCCGGAATCAGCGCCTTGCCGAAGTGGAACGCCTCCTGGACTGTATTGCGAGCAACAACGGAGGAGGCATTTCGGCGGAGTCCGACGAGATCCTCTCGATCGCCATCAACGCCGCAGTGCACAGCAGTGCTCCGGAGACCAAGCAGATGCTGGACCGGCTAATCAAACGCATCAGCAGCGTGGAGTTGCGGGTCTCCTCCTACATCTACATTGGGCAGCTCAAGTCCGCCTATCTACTGGCCAACAAGCACGAGCGACTGGCGGACATCCGAAAAATCCTGCGGCAGGCGGACCTTACCGGCCAGGTTCACATCAAGAAGCTGTGCGAGATGAAGCTCCAGCTTAGCACCCCGCCAACGCCTCTGTGATATCGTAACCCCTCGGGCAATAACAATTTAACTATAATATACCCATTATTAAGAGGTTTCACTAGCTGTGATAAATACTAAAATGATACATTTTTAATTTTGTATCTCCCAGAAAACAAATATTCACAAAAAAGGATCACATATCTAATCGTAATCAAGCTAAATTAATTTGAAAACCCGGTTTCCTTCGAGATACAAATTTAGTAATCATCATCTGAGTATTTCTGACTAGTGATAACCCCCACTAATTTGCATGTGGGCCTGTATAGGGAGTTTGTTTTTAGAATTTAACATTTACTTAGATCAATTTTAATCTTTCCAAAGGGCCAGCAAGTATTCAACCCTCGAGCTCAAAAAGACTCTCCCAACAAATAACCAAATTATATTATTGATTGTACTGTATTATCTTAATGTTATTTTTATAGTAATTATATTGTTATATGTTTATTCAAAAGAAAGGCGCCAATGTTTGAATTAATTTAATGCTTTTAACACTGCCAGTGGCAAATTTTACAGCACTGTTTGGAATGAAATAACTAATATATGTAGCTGACTGGTAAATATATAGAAATATAGAGCAATGCGGGCGGTTATACAAAGGGTTAAGGCCGCCAAAGTGACGGGTATGCATGGATCAAATAGTTACCATCTTGGATATAGCTTTAAAGTGTTATTCTAGTGATGGACGAGCTGGTGTCCTCCATTGGGCCGGGGCTGTGCGTGCTGGTGGGGATTAAGGCCAGCGATACTGCCAAAGATGTTGAGTATCTGTAGGTAATTCCCTTTCAGATAAAAATTAGCTGAACTATAGATTACTTAGTACTCTGATTACTTTCTTAGGGTCCGCAAGATCTTGGCCCTGCGTTTGTTTGAGGAGGAGGGCAAGCGGTGGCAAAAGTCTGTCAAAGATCTGAATCTGGAGTTGCTCTGCGTCTCCCAGTTCACATTGTATCACCGGCTAAAGGGCAACAAGCCGGATTTCTCGGCGGCCATGAAGGGTGAGGAAGCCCAGCAGCTGTACAATCACTTCCTAGATCGGCTGGGGCAATCCTACGATAGTAACAAGATTAAAGGTGGGTCACATTCTGGGGTTCTCCAGGACTTTATAATTCATAATTATGCCTTTTCCCCTTAACAGATGGCAAATTCGGAGCCTACATGCAGGTGCACATAGAAAACGATGGGCCTGTGACTATTAATCTGGAATCTCCAGATCAAAAGCAATCCGACGAAGGAGTGGACAAGTGATGACCCAAATAAACAAAGACTACGTGCATTTATTTACCACGGGGTTTTTATTTAGTTTATTTTTTAGCAGCAACTTAAACCTAAAAAAAATCAGCATACTCGTCCTTAGGCTTCTAACATCTCCAGATCCTCGATACCCATTCCCTCCTCGAGCCTCTTCTCGAGCTCGCGCGCATCCACGTAGGTGATCTTCTCCTCGGGCAGGTCCTCCTCCATGAGGGCAGCCTCCTCCGCCGCCTCCTTGGCGCGGCGCTCCTTGAGCCCGGCGGCCGGGGAGCGGATAAGGGACATGTTGCGCTGCACATCCTTGACGTCCATCTGGATCTCGATCTGGCGACCCTTGCGGAGGCGCTCCATGACAAAGTGGCTGGTGCGCTTCTCCTTGATCTCCGTCACCCTCTTGATGGCCTCCAGAGCCTTCTGCCAGGTCTCGCGGCTATATTTGATGGGCACATTGCGGCGCTTCTCGAACTCGAAGCTGGGATCTATGGCCAGCTCCTTGCCGGCGGCCTTGCGGTGCGCCTTTGTCCATCCGACCTTGCGGGGATTCTTCTTCCGCTTGAAGGCCTTGTGGCACTTGCCGCGACAGAATTTGAAGATCTACGGAAAAATGGAGTGAACCAAAATAAACATGGGAGCACATGTAAACAGGAGAGCCAATCAATCCTACCTTGCAGTCATTTCGCACGAAATTTACCCCGTGGCCTGGGTATATCTTGCTGGAGCAAAAATAACACGTTTCAATGCGCATTTTCGCAAATTACGACGAATAATTTGCGAAAAAAAACAAAGCGCAAGCAGCTAGCACGTGTGCTGCTGAAGAAGAAGAGAGATAAAAATATATCGATAGCGAACAGTGTGACCAGGGTGTGACCACCCATCGATTACAAATAAGGAGCTGGCTTAAAAATAGCTAAAAATAGTGGTTATATATGAAAAAAGAAAAATATATTTATAGCTTCAATTTATATTTCTATATTTGTTGTAGACCATTTTAAATATCATATGTTACTTTTGAGGTTTATTATATATCTGAAACTTTTAGTATGTTTGAATTCTGTTAACAATTTTCTAGCAAAAAATGATCTTGAAATTAATTAAATGTAAAACATTTATAGAGTGGCTTGAATGAAAGTTACTAATTTACACTTGTCTAACTTCAAGAAAATAATTGATTTAATTTATATTTCCTTTAGTTCGTTTGCCGTCACCCTAAATTTGAAATGTAATTAAAATGGTATCACCTGATTTTCTGCTATTGCCTCTCCACCTCCTGCAATCAGCTGTTGCACCAGCTGCGCGTCCCGGCTACGCTGGTCACACCGTCAGCATCCAAACAACAATCCGGACACATCACCGAGATCTTGCTGACGTGCGAGGTGCCAACAGATGCATCTGGAAGATCACTCGCCGCGCGCCATGTACATGCGGGACTGGCGGAAGGCTCTGCGGACGCCCACCTACCGGATTGGAAATCGAACGGTGCGCTTCAACTACCACTTCGCTCTGCTCATCGCCTGCGCCCTCGGCCTTGTCCTGCTCTTTTACTGTGCGAACCTGGGGTCGCATTCCTCCTCCGACGGCTACAGGCTGAGGCGAAGCTTTGTGGACGCCTGGAGTCGGGACAGTGGCTCGGTGGCCCATGTCTACAATGCCACTTATCCGCTCACGCCTCCCATGGTGCTGCGGGGCGGGGTCATCAACTACCGGATAGCCATGATCGCCGATTTGGACACCAACTCCAAGGTGACCAAAAGCGACGGCAGCTTCACATGGCGCAGTTACCTGAAGAAGGGCTACCTCACCTACACGGTGGCCAGGGCCGAGATCCAGATTAGCTGGGATGACGGAGCGCCTACAGCCCTAGAATCTGCATTCGCCCTGAAAGGTCGGGGCATGGAGCTCTCCGAGTTGGTCACCTTTAACGGGCGCTTGCTCAGCTTTGACGACCGCACTGGATTGATATACGAAATAGTTAACGACAAGCCCATTCCCTGGGTGATCCTGCTCGATGGCGACGGGCACAGTGCCAAGGGCTTCAAGTCCGAGTGGGCCACAGTGAAGCAGCAAACACTATATGTCGGCTCCATGGGCAAGGAGTGGACGACGAGTGCGGGCGACTTCGAGAACAACAATCCCATGTACGTAAAGGCCATTACGACCTCCGGGGAGGTGCGGTCACTCAACTGGGTGAACAACTTTAAACAGCTGCGGCTGCAGTCCCAACAGATAACCTGGCCAGGCTACATGATCCACGAGAGTGGGACCTGGTCGGATGTCAAACAGCGGTGGTTTTTCCTGCCCAGACGTTGCTCCAAGGAAAAGTGTGTTCCCCTATCACTCTTTAAGTCCTTTACTTATCCCTTTATGTTCTGCAGGTACAACGAAACCAAGGACGAGCACATGGGCTGCAATGTCCTGGTCTCCGCCGACGAAAGCTTCACCAAGATCGAGACCGTACAACTCGATCCTGAAAATACAACGCCTACGCATGGCTTCTCCAGCTTTAAGTTCCTGCCCGGCACCGATGACTCCATAATAGTGGCTCTTAAGTCAGAGGAGTTGAATGGTAAGACGGCTACCTTCATCACAGCCTTCGATATTAAGGGCAAGACGCTGCTGCCCGAAATGCGGATCGAGTCAGATTATAAGTACGAAGGATTCGAGTTCATTTAGCTTGTAACTCCACGCCACTACACTCCACTCAACTTCGATCCAGGTGCTCCAGGTTTAAGCGTGTACATAATGTATTAATGTCCCATACTGTAAGCTTTATATTTATAGTCAGCTAGGTTAGTCCAGCGATGGTCATCTGCCTCGTGACTCCCTTTCCCTGTCTCGTACCTTAGCACAAATCAAATTTTAGTTTATTTTTATTGAAATTGAAATATACAACGTACAAAGCCGGCGGCAAACTCAAAAAGACCCTGCATCATATGACTTTAACCTTCGCATCCAATCCGGCCACCAGAAGATCAGCTTCATCCACGCGTCCCTCGCTAGCCCGGACCTCCAGCCGATCGGCGTTGTGGTTGACGTTCCAGAGTTCGGGCAGGAAGCGGGGCTGCATGGCGTGCAGAAAGTGCTCTCGCCACAGTCGCTCCAGCTCCACGAGACCGCCGAACTTGTCGCGATATTGCTGCACTACTCGCTCCCCGTGCTGGCAGTAGTCGGCGTTCTCCACGCGGTATTCCACGCTGGCCGCCTGCCGCAGAAGCTGCTCCGTGACCTCCGTTTGATCAGAGTAGAATTCGAGAAGGGTTCGCTGCATATCGGCCACCTTAGCAGCCGGTATCTTTGTGCCATGGTAGAGCAGTGCCTTGCCAGCGGATTGAACGCGTCTAAAAGACAAAATGGAAAGAAATTATATTCATTAATCAAAGTATCCGAGGAGGTGTAGGAGCTTCATGATATTCTCTTTTAAAAACATCGGTTATAATAAGCTTTTTTATGTAATTATGTTTTTAATTAATTGCATTTTTGTAAAATCCTTAAGAAATGTACATATTACCAGAGCTAGTTTAAAAATGTTTCGGAAATGAAGTAAAAAAAAATCTGATAAAGAGTGATTGAAAAGATAACAAGTGGTACTATTCACCTTAAAACTGAAGGTCTGTTCTGGTTTTGACATTCGGAAAGTTTTTACGCTCTGTTTGGTTTGACTTTAAATTTATGGTGCAAAATTGATAGTTAAATTTGGGTACATTCTTTTTTTTATATTTTGTGTTGTTTCAGAATATTTAATTGAAAATTGTATTATTTATTGAAATTCAAACAAAAGACTAATAGGAAGGTATTAAATTACTACATTGACTTACTTGAGCTCCGGATCATCGCGGAACTTGACGGATCCGTCTCCATACTTAAAAGGAGCTTCGCACTGGACGGCAAGTTTCGTCCGCACTCGAAGATCCGAGATGTTGCTAAGCTGGTGGCAGGTGGGACAAAGGAGGAGCACGTCGTGGGAGGTATGAGACTTCATGACCATGGGAAAATGCTTTCTGTATTCCCGAGGCACTACATTCTTTCGGATGTAGGCATCTCGATCGCCGCATACTACGCACTGGTTTTCTTTGGGCGTCTGGTAGTAGCGACCTACATCGCCTACCGCTCGACCCGCTGGTTCGAAATTAAGGCGAACGGTAAAGGGCTCCTCACTAATCTGCGTGCCCAGGTTTTGGTTGAGATACCAGGACGCCTTGCGCCGGTCAATTGTGCACAGGAGCTCGCCATCGGGCGCCTGGAGCAGGCAGTTGTCATAGAAGTCCTTGGATCGCGTGCCCATTTGCCGGAATGGTTGCTTCTTTGGCAGCCATTTTTTGCTTTTGGATGGACCACAACTCTTTGAGCGAGTGGCTCCACTTCCGGTCAGGCTGAGTGAAAAGCCCTTGGTAAAGTCCACGTCCAGGAAGGGCTCGAATTTGTTGCGCAGGCTATCATCGTTCAGTGACCGACGTTGCCAGAAATATTTGGGTTCCAAATCCCTGGCCAGCTTTTGATAAATGGCCACTGCCACCAGGGCATCATTGGCAGCATAATTAAGCTGTTTTGGCTCCAGCTCCTTGGCCTCCCAGTTGGAGCAGGCCAGGCGCCAGTTCTTATCCAGTGTATAGTTCAGATGTGTCTGGGAGAGCTTGCCCAATCCTCCTGGCTTGTGGCCCGCCATAACGCACAGGAAGCGCAGATCCAGGGTGCTGGCCACGCCCACTCCGTAGTCATGGGAAAGCTTCATGGCATCCTCCTGCGGTGCCACACCCACTTTGATCACCGCATCGTCTTCGAGCAACTCCCTAAGGCCCTTGGGTATTTGTTTCATGTGACAGAGGCGGAACAAGGCGCACAAACCCCGATGGGAGCTGAGTTGCAGCAGGGCCACAGGTCGCCGGCTCCCGCCCACGGTGATCCATTCGCAGTCAAATCCGAGAACTTTAAAAGTCTGGCAGTGACTAAAAACGAGCCAAAATGAAAAATCTCTGATAGACAAAAAAATTGGGGTAATACTAACTTCTTCAGTTCATTCAAAACCCATTGTGTAGTTGTTTCCTGGACGGAGTTGAGCACTTCTATGTGACGCTGGGGTAGCGGACTGCCGTAGTGCCAAACCCGACGCAGTGGACCCAGCAGCGACTGCCTGTTCCTCACCAGAACATAAACTAATCCTACTCCCGCGGCCACAATCGCCCATTTCCTGGTGGTAGCAACTCCAGATTCCTGGCTCATTGTTTTTCTTGTGGCGAAATAAATAGCTTTTTAACGGGCCTGCCAACTTACTAAACAAAAGCCGATTCAAAAAAAAATAGCTACAAAAACAAAACCAGTAATGTAAAAAAGATTCGTTGAATAAATCTAAAAACGCAAAGCTGGTGATAATTTTCGTTTTTAAACATTTAATTTTTTCAAAAATACAGCTTAAATATTTAAAAAGGCTTTATTTAGGTAAATGTTTTTTTTAATTTTTGTTTCTTTGCAATGGTTAAAAACTATTCTATTTATTTTTTTGTTGACCTGCCAATTGTTTTTTTAAATAAACTTGGTGCCAATATTATTGAAGATTTTGTTAATACATTTTTTTTGGAAAAGACTTAGGAAAAGATGTACTGCCCAACAAAAAAAGGTAAATAAAAATGAATTCAAATTATTACAGTTATTTTGGACCTTTAAAAAGGTGGCAGCATTGACGCCAGTGTGAGTTCGTGGGGTGGCATCTCTGGTCTTCAGGCTTTTCTGATTCGGTGTTTGGAAAAAGATTTAAAATGTTAAATTAAATGAAGACTTTGCGAGCGAACAATGAATAAAACTCTGTGAAACGGGTGGCGGGGAAACAATGGGCGAGTGAAAACAGCGAAAAAGTTGGCGGAATACAGTGACACAGAGCGTAAATAAGGAGAGGTAGTCGAAAAAATCGATTTTTTGAGTGCAGGTGAGACAAAGTTAGACACCCCTCATGCACACACACACACTGACGCAAATCTCTTGCAGGATGCTGAAATTTTAAAAGGATTCTGATATTGTAGAGAAGAAACCTCAGAAATGCCGGAGAACCTGGAGCTGCAGCAGTTCCAGGAGGGCGCCCCGCCCCCAGATCCCGCCCCCCGTTGGCTGGAGCGCCTGCAACGACGTTTGGGCGCCAATTGTCCCTATTTAGGCATTCTGCTAGCCACGCTCTCCTCGCTTTTCTTCTCGTTATGCTCGGTGATTGTCAAGGGACTGGTCGATGTGAATCCCATGGAGCTGGCTTCGTTCCGTTTCGTGGGAGTCCTTCTGCCGGCGCTTCCCATCCTGATCTACACCCGACAGCCAGTTTTTCCGGAGGGCAAGCGGGTGATCCTGCTGCTGCGCTGCTTCATGGGCACCACGGGTCTAATGCTCAGTTTCTACGCCTTCCGGCACATGCCCCTGGCGGATGCAAGTGTCATAATCTTCTCCACGCCCGTTTTTGTGGCCATTTTCGCGAGGGCCTTCCTAAAAGAGCCATGCACGCTGTTTAATGTCCTAACCATCAACATGACTTTGGTCGGGGTGGTCTTGATTACACGGCCACCCTTTGTTTTTGGAGATTCTGGAGAAAGTGAGGATGTCTCTGGAAAAACGTACGACATCTGGGGACCCGTGGCCGCCATTTCATCCACACTGTTTGGCGCCAACGTATATATTCTGCTGCGTGCCCTCAAAAACCTGCACTTCTCCGTGATCATGACGAACTTTGGAACCATTGCCCTGGTCTACACCCTGATCGTTTGTGGATCCATTGGAGCGGTATGCTGGCCCAGCTGTGGAAGGGATCGCTGGCTGGTCGTGGTCCTTGGCGTCTTCAGTTTCCTTGGACAGATCCTGCTCACCTTATCCCTGCAGATTGAGCAGGCCGGACCGGTGGCCATCGCCCGCTGCGCAGACATCGTGTTCGCCTTCATCTGGCAGATGCTCTTCTTCGGGGAGACGCCCACCGCCTACTCCATGGTGGGTGCCGTCATGGTGATGGGATCCGTAGTCCTGACGGCTCTCAAAAAGTGGGCAGGCACACTTCCTCGCGATTCCTCGCTGAGGAAGCGATTTAGGCTCATCCTGCTGGAGTAGAAGATCCACATCGATTGTAGAAGTTTGCGGTTTCTCCCCGTATTGCCATCGTTCTCACCTTATCCCTGCCAGCATCAGCATCAGGCACCAAACCATTTCATTCATCGTAGACTTAATTAATATCAAGGCTCAGATCGTAGTTTAATCAAAAGAAATCAGAAGGGACGCGTGATAGCCACTCCACTCATAAGTAAATACTCGTAGTGCGTGTTTAGTTTAGCCAATTTCGCCGATTTGTTGTTTTGTACATTGTTATACATGCTTAAAATACGATAATAAATACAACTTATGAGTAAAATGGTAAGATGTTATAGTTTCATTTTGAATTTAGCGCTCTTCTAGATAAAAGTGGGCAAAGGGCGGCCTCCACTGAAACACATTTCTACGTTTACTTATTTTTATATGCGCTTGTACCTTTTTTTAATTTTATTATAAAAAAAAAATAAATTGAACTTTTATTTTATTTTCAAAACATGCCCACAATTTAGCTTATTGTTAATATATGTAGACGAAATGTAGAAATATGCTGCAGTGGAACCGGCTTAAATGTAGATGTTTGTCAAAAGCTTAATCGATACATCGATTGCAGAATCAATTTTACGTCCACCTCTAGTTTTTCGTTTGTTTGTTTGTTTATTATTGTTGATGTTTATATTCTCGAAGCACACTCGAAAAAAAGGAACGGAAACAGAAACAGAAAACAGGCTGCCAAGACTAGAAGCCCAGATCAGCGATAACCGCGTCCAGTTCGTCCTGCAGATTGGTGGCCCGCGATCGCACCTGCACAATTTGATCCTGCAAATTGTCGACGTTCGCCTGGAGCAGCACATTGCACTTCTTCATCGCCGCGAACCGGCTCTCGTGCTTCTTCAACCGCGGCTCCACATTCGCCTTCTTCGCGGAGTTTGGCGAGTCCTGTAGGATAATATCGAGGTAAGTCGGTGGAATAAAGGTTAATCCCCTACTGCTAACTCACCTCCGGCTCGGACTCGCTGCCCGTCTCCGCCTCGCTGGCCTCCGAATCAGACTCCTCGGACTCGTCGTCGGACTCCTCCTCCTCCTCGCTGGCTGGCTCCTCCTCCTCCTCCTTCTCATCCTCGTCTTTCTCCTCGCCATCCACATCGTCCTCGTCCAGCTTCATCGAGGCGGCCATCTTCTGCACCTCCTTCTCCAGCTTCTTGAATTTCTTGTTCTCCTCCCTGAAATAAGAAAGGATTCCCAATTAAAACCAGTCTCGTATTTTGCTTGCAAAAACTGTGGTTAAATGGTAACTTGAAAAGTTAAGTCCTACAAAAATTGCAGGATAAAAAAGATTAATAATAATAATCTTGTAAACACAATTGTATAAGAACTACACCTAATGTCTTTAAAGCTTCCAAATCTTGAACTCACTTGAGGATCACATGGTTCTTCTTCATGGCCTGCTTGAGGGCGTCCTTCTCCTTCTTGGCCGCCTCCTCTTTGACCTTTATTTTGGTGAGCTTGCTGCGCAGGACCTTCAGCTCCTTGCCAGAGCGTCGCTCCCTGCGCTCCACCTTCTTCTCCTCCGGCTCGTCCGGATCACTTTCGCTGACCTCGGGCTCCAGTTCCGGCGAGCTGTCCCTTCCGAAGTTGGCATCGCTGGGTCGTCGCGATCCGTCCAGGGAACCACCGCCCTAGGGTCGCAATAAATCCAGAATGAAGAACACGAAAGTAGGGATACAGATTACGGATTAGTTGGGGCATTCTCTGCCGGACACTGGCTTTACCTGGTGCCGTGATGCATGGTAGTGGTCGTAGTGGAAGCAATCGTCGTAGTCGTCGTCGTCGTAAGCAAAGCAATTACTAATGTGCGGTCTGTTAGTGCTTGGTGTCGCCTTTTCAAAAGAGCGTGTTAATCGGTTAGTTGCTGCGTAGTCGGCTGCGGAGTGCAAGAGCAAAGCTTCCAGGGGTGGACGTGTCCTAGACGGGTCATATATCCGCTCGGGTCTGGGCGGAACCGCGAAAAGGGAATTTGGCATGCAGCATGCAACGAACTGATGGAATTTAAGGCTTTTGGCGCTCAAAATCTTAAGGGCATTTGTTGGAAGTTCCTTTTTTGAAGACCGAATTTACTTCATGGATTTCAGACATTTATTTTCTCTGCTTTTCTACTTCTAATATGGACAAAATGTGGACAAATTAGTAAATACATACTTAAGTCCTTTTGGTGCCATTGAAGGAAACACGAATTAAAGAGAACCCAAATTTATGTAAATACCACAGCTGTTTGACAACTTATGACAGGCCATACAAATTTGAAAGGTAAACATTTAATGCATATTTAGTCATGTTTAGTATTTACTTTAACAAAAATTCTCGACACTAAAAACCCACAACAACTTGGGCATCAAAACTTTTTGAGTTTTTGTCTAGAAAGTTTGTTTTGCTCTGGTAAGAATTCAGTTGAATAAAACAGAAACCATTAGTGTGGGACGAAGTATGTGAAACCAGACTTTTGGATATACTGTTGCTCAACTTTTTAATATATGGCTTCCAAAATATAATACAAATTGTGCCCTAAATTACGTTTGCAAATAAGTTCTGGTCAGTTTAAAATTTTAATATTCGTTTGGTTTGTGAATGATATTGTTGCTCAATTTCTCTTTTTTTTTTGGCAGCCTTTGCATGATTTCTATATGATTTCTTGTTATTTTTAATGTTCCCAAAGCCTCGTGTGCAGAGCACATCGTCTAAAAGCAGGAGTTTTTTTTTTGCATTTAAAGGAAAGGATGGGGTGCAACTTGGTAATTTATTCCCAGACCCATCCCAGATTTGTGTCAAGTGTTGTCAGCTGATCTGTTTCTCTGGCTACAGTGGCTACTAGGGACAACTAACGAGGGGTCTACGGTGGATGCTACAGATTGCGGTGGCTTCGTTAGCTGCTCCCATCTATTTCCCGCCCTCAGCGGACGCAGCGATGCGACGCCGGCGACACTAAAATCAAGAAAGGAAGACTAGCTTCGGGGTCCGATGCTTTGGTATACCCTTGGCAAATAATGGTTTTTACTATGTGTAATGATATAGATATAGACTTCTATAGCCTTGAACTGAATTCAGCTTTGATCCCTGCTTGCAATTGAGAATATTGAGAACGGAAAACGTGATTAAAAATACAAATCTTCCAAAAACAATACGGAAATAGTACATGTATTATAGAGGTTGAAAAATCGTATTTAAGTCTTTGTGATTCTATGCTTAAAATGATACCTTCTGGATGAATTAAAAAAGGGGGCAAACACCAATTAGCAAGAAGCCAAAATTCCCCAACCGAAATCCTTATCTCAACTGACAACACTTTCAGCGACATCCAGTAATCACAATTCCAAACCCAATCCCGAATTCCGACTAACCTGTAGAGCAGCTGCTAGCTTGCGCTCAAGCAACTGAATCTGGCGACGCTGCTCCTCGATCTCCGTCTTGGCCTCCACCAGCAGCTCGCTGGTACTCTGGTAGTTCTTCTCCACCTCCTTGGACGACTTCCGTGCATCCTCCACTTCGCGCTTCAGGGAGTTGACGTAGGTCTGTTCGGCGGTGGGCGTGGGATCCATGGTGGCCACAATCACATTGGATCCGTACTCAAGGTTCTTCTCGCGGGATTTCTCGCGCTCCAGTTCGGTTTCCAGGGTTCGAATCTTGGCCAGCAGTTTCTTGTTCTCGCGCTCCTGCGCCTCCCGGTTGCGCAGTTCCAAGGCCAGCATCTGCTTGGTGCTCTGCAGATCGTCGCGGATCTTGTCAATGTCGTCCAGCTCGTCGGGACTCTCCTCGTCGATGGACATGGCCGATACAATGCTGGGCCTGGATCCTCCGGCTCCCAGGGCTGTGGCACTGCCTGGGCCGAGGGCATGGCTGCTGGGCGCCTCGCTCAGCATGTTGACCTTCGACTGGGACTTCTGCAGCTGCTCCTCGATGGTCATCTGGCGGCGGAACTTGCGCAGACCGTCCAGCACTGGCTTGCTGCGATCGTTGGTCTTGGTCGGCTTCAACCGGATGCCGCCCTGGATCTGCTTGAGCAGCTTGTTGTGCGAGTTGCCCTTCTCCGTCTCGTAGATGAACTTGTCGTCCACTTTGGTCATCGACTTGCACGTCAGGACGGGCTGAGATCTGGGGAGAATGAATATATTCGATGAATAGTATGTAAAAAAAAGGAAGAAAGAGCTTGGTATTTGATTACAACGTTGCCTTATTTTTTTAAAAAGATGAAAAATTCATTTCCACATTAATCACATTTACTTGGAACTGTTAATCCATCTACATATAAATTGGCGCATTCACAGTAAATTGTTTTCCAGCTGTGGTTTAAATTTCAGCTGTCTTAATTCATTTTCCAATTATTGGGAGTGTTGCCATCGGTAATTGCTGCGCAGCATGCGGATACCACTCACCTATCGTTGCAGGCCACATGGCGCAGCTTCTTGCCGCTTTCCACCTCCTTCATCATCTCGGACCAGTCCGGACGCCTTCGGGGTCGTGTCCTGCGAATCGAAGCGAATCGGAGTTATAGTCATCCTGCGTCTTAAAAGTGAAAGCTATCCGGATGCTGGATATTTTGGGTTTGCAGGGGACCAGGAGGCCAGGGGTCGGGGGGGTCAGGTGAACCACTCACCTTAGCTTGTCGAGAGTCTCCTTCTGGTTACTGGAGAGCACTCTTTTCTCGCCGGGGGCCAGGGGCGGGGGCGGCGGTGGCGGGGCCTTGGGCACCAAAGAGGGCAGCGGCGGCGGGGCGGGAACTGCAACAATAAAACACGGAATGCACCCAAGTGGGTGGCGGTTATTCTCTGCCGGGCGGGGTGGAGGGTCTTGGTGGTGCAAGTGGGGCCGAGGTTCGGGCATCGTTGGGCATTAGAGCAAATCGCCGGGCGCTGCGTGCACTCGCGGTTATTAAATATAATTTTAATTTAATGAGTTTGCAATTTGTGTCAGTTGTTTGTTGTTCTTTCGGCTCCCGCGGGGTTCTTTATTCCACCCACCAGGCGATTCGCCACCCTAGCATTTAGCTGTGCCTTGCGGGCAAAGTTGCTCCATACATATCAATACAGGGTAAAGAGAAAGTATGGGCGGTACACTCAAAGCTTGAATTGTTATTTATCTATTTTTCGAATTTCTAAAACAGTTTAGATTGATTTTGTTAACGACATTTTTAAAGCTTTAATACTTCAATGATGAAAACCAGTTACTGTTTCAACATGCTACTATTGATTAGAACATACCCCGACTTATAATGTTTGATAAACAATTAATTTCTATGAGTAAACACAAAACCCCTCTTACCGCAATCTAAGGTATTCACGCAATTAGATAGAATTTTGCAAAAATAAACGTAAAATATTTCGCTAAATATAATTTGAATAGATCACAAGAACAGTGTGATTAGTTAGTTTATCCAAAGTTTCGAATTGTGTAGTGGAAGTTGGGGGGTGGGAGCCCAGACACATGGCTGTCTCTGTCGGAAGTTGCAGCAGAGATTGAAAAGTTAGTGCCTGCCTCTGCTTCGGCCACGTCCTCGGCCTCGTCCTCGTCCTGAAACCTGGACCTGGCTTTGATGGTGTTTTATTGCCTTAACACCATTCAATTCGGCTGACTGGCCTCCAAGGGGGGGGTGGCAGAAAACTTTGATTGCATTTTTTAGTTTGTCGGGTTTCACTCGACTGGCTGCCGTGCCTCAGTCAGTAGCATGGGTTTTAAGTTAGTTTAAACTCTTCTAGCTGGGAACCTATTCCGCCTTCACTTTATTTCTTATTCGTGTTCGTCTTGGTGTTCTGTTAACGAGGCCAATTAGGATTGGCCGTGTGTTCGAGACCCCTTGCAGCCAGCTGTTTCTAATAAATTTCCGCTTAAATTGTTGGCCTAACAATCTTCACTTGGCGATTCAATTCTTCTACACTGCCGTCCTTCTTCGTTTCCTCCTCCCTGTA